AAAATTCATACACGTTGTTTTTCACACTGAATCTTTCTTGTTTCCTTTACCTACCCTTCTGTCTACCCATCAAATTGTAAGACCCTATGATTAGCCTCCTGCCCATCCTCACCTTTCTACTCTTAGCCTCCCCGCTTAGATCCTCATACATGTTCCACTAGTTGTCTATTTCTCCAGTGACAGTCTTATACAGTATTTGTCCTTATGAAACTGAGTTAATTCACTTAGCATAATGCTCTCTAGTCCCTTTCAACTTACGTGGTGATTTACAAAATTCTTGCTCTTACAGGCTGCATAGTATTCCATCATGTGAGTGTACCACAACTTCTCAATCCATTTGATTGTGCTTGGACTTGTGGGCTGTTTCCATGTTCTTGCAATGGTGAATAATAGTGTGCTATTTTAAATAGGATTTTATTTTATATTTTAGGTTTTGGTTGTTTTTTGACCATACTTAACATTTAGAATATGTACTTTATATATTGATCTATTATTGTAAGATATTTTCATATCAGTTCAAACTCATAGTGACCCAATGTACAGTAAACTACTGCTCATTTCTGTACCATCTTCAAAATTATGACTGGGTTTGAGACCATTGTGTTAGTACATATTGTTCAGGATCTTTCTCTTATTCACTGCTCCTCTATTTTCCCCAAGCCTGGTGTCCTTCTCCAGGGACTGGACCCTCCAGGTAACATGTCCAGAGCACATGAGATGAGTTGCTTGCCATTCCTGATTCTAAGGAGTAATCTGACTATACTTCTTCCACACATCTTTGTTTGGCTTCTGGTGGTGCCTGGTATATCCAGTGTAGTGTGACAACAGCATAATTCAAAGGCATCATTTCTTTGGTCTTCCTCGTTCATTGTCCATTTTCCCCAAATATATAAGAAGATTGGAAATACTGTGGTTTGGGTTAGGTGCACTTTAGTTCTCAAACTGACATCTTTTTAACACTTCAGAGAGATCTTTTGCAATATATTTGCCCAAAGGAATGTGTTGTTTGATTTTGTAACTGCTGTTTTCATAGAAATTGATTGTGGAGCCAAGTAAAATGAAATCCTTGAAAGGCCAGTCTTTTTTAATTATACAGCGATTAGTATAGCGATTGATTGATGTCAGGTTTTTATCATAATGTTGGGTATTGGTGTAGTTGTAAGAGTATTTGTTTTGTGCGTGTTGATGTGTAATCTATACTAATAGCTTCAGTCTTGGATCTTCATCAGTATGTGCTTCAAGCCTCTTTATGTTCAGTAACCAAATTTATGTCTTCTCCATATGGCAGGGTGTTAATGAATCTTTCTCCAGGTTTTTTTTTCTTTCATTATTTAATCATTATATTTTTATTTTTTCTTTTATTTAAGTGAAAGTTTGCAAATGCTAGTTTTTCATTTATTAATAAACATTTTGTTTTAGAACATTAATTACAATTGATTAATAATTATAATGTCAAATCAACATTTTCATTAGTAATTATGATGTATTTCTACACTTTATAATTTTAGAAATGGTGCATACTTGGTGGAGTAAAACTGCATTATGTGTACATTAGTGTCCTAAACTTTAAAAAATGAACAAGATGTGTTTGGTTCATGTAGAAATACGGCTTGAACAGAACATAGATTTTTTTGAGGGGTAGAGTGAATGGGAAGTGAAAATGGACAGATAAGGCCTTTGTGCCAAGCCCAATATGGGGAGAATTGAAAGTTTCTAATTGGTGTTGGTGGGATTGATATTTGGGTTTGAATTTTAAAAGGGTAATGTTAGCAAGAATTAATTTAGAGATTACTTTGTACAAACAAAAGAGGATGAAAGGCTGGAACCAATTCAATGTCAGAGAGAGAGAGGAGGGAGATATGAGAAATACATATGACATTAACCTAAGTGGCAAAACTTGAGGACTAGTTATATGTTGACAGTGGAGTGCAGTTGAGATTATCTTGGTGATAGTATATTTAAGAGGGTTACTTAACCTGTTGACTAGAATATACAGAGTATAAAGTTTAAGAAATTAGAGTTTTAAAAGTGTTATAGAGACATAGCATTTGACTTCTCTTAGTTTTTATTTGTATTTATTCTACTTTTTTGAGGACTCTTTGAAAGAGAAGTTAACAACATGACTGAGGGAAGGAATTTCTTCTACATAAAACACAGACTTGAAGCTTTAGTGTGAATGAAGCCTTTTAAATAAGTAGGAGGTAATTCTTGCACTAGGTTGAATTGCAAGGTTTTTGGCAAAAATTACCTCAGAGTTTATCTGTAAAATTCCATGGTGTTTTTAACATTATTTATAAATGAATGTTTTCTGTGTCTGTTTATGTTTTCTAAGATGTTCTCAGTGCAGCTGAGTCTTGGTGAACAGACATGGGAATCCGAAGGGAGCAGTATAAAGAAAGCCCAACAAGCAGTTGCTAATAAAGCTTTGACAGAATCTCCACTTCCCAAACCAGTTCAGAAACCACCCAAAAGCAATGTTAATAACAATCCAGGTATGACACCAACTTGTTTCTTTATGCTGTGCTGTTGTGTGTTGTGTGTACTATTCTCTGTATCTGTATGGAGAATAATCTTTTGTTTCATTTGTACCCAGCATTTACTATTAGAGCAAAGAAAATATTTATGGCTGAATAGTAACTAAAGGTAAAAAATGGGATAAAATAATTTTGATTATCTTAAAAATGTCTTCAGTGAATACTAGAAAGACACATAATTTACCTTCCTGGCCACCCTCACCTCCAGCCCCTTTGAATTGTATACTTCTTATAGATTCCTTGGAGTATTTATGTGTAAATATACATTGTGTCCTTGTGTTATTTTCCTAGTGATGGCATAACAGAAGTACTTAAATGGAGACGAATATAAGAGCTTAAACTCATATTCTCCCTCTTCTGCAGCCTGAAACCAGGGCATCAGCTCTCAGTCTTATGCCCCTTTCAGCTTCTAGCAGCTGCTGGCAATCCTTGGCATTCCTAGACTTATAGAGGAGTCTACATGGTGCCTGTCTTACCCCCATTATTTACTTCTTAAATTTTGGCAAAAGCACATTTACATGTAAAACTTAGAAATTACATTAGATTTTTCTAAAGATAGAAAGTATCAGTATCTTTTATTAAATATATAATGTGGTTGTTAGGTGCCATCAAGTTGACTGTGACTCATAGTGGCTCTTTGAACAATCCACAGATTGAAACCTTGCCCTGCACCATCTTTACGATCTTTGCCATGCTCTAGTCCGTTGATGTAGTACTTGTGTCAGTCCTTCTTGTTGACAGCCTTCCTTTCTCTGACCCTCAATCTTTCCTGGCATGTTTTTCCAAAGACTCACCCATCCTGCCAGCATGCCCAAAGTATAGGAGACTTAAGTTGCCATCTTTGCCTCTAAGGATCACCCTGGTTGCACATCCTCCACAATAGGCTTGTTTGCTCTCTTGACAGTCCATGGAATATTCAGTACTCTTGTAACCACCATAATTCAAAATCATCCATTATTAATAATTTTAATAATGAAAATAATGATTAATTTTTATAATGGAAATAATTTGCCTTTATTTTAATACTAAATGTTATTAAAATTATGCCCTAAGCACCTTGCTGTCTTTGTTTATTGACATAAAATATTAGATACGGTTGCTATTTAATTTAAAATGAAACCTGCAAAGCCATGAACCACCTCTGTCCATATATACTGCTACATAAATAATTTTCATTTTAAGTGCTTTTAATGTTTAAAAATTGCTTTATGCATTATCAGTAATACTTTATGTTTACCTATCTATTGGGAGGCCTTCCTCTCCTGCGCTGTCCCTCCACCCTCCCAAGCATGATGTCCCTCTCCAAGGACCGGTATGTCCAGAGTATGTTAGACTGAGCTTCCTTGCCTCCTAGGAGCTGCCCGATTTAACCCTTTCCAGGATGAATCTGTTTGTTTTCCTAGCAGTCCATGGTACCCTCAATACTCTTCTCCAGCACCAAAGCTCAAAGGCATCAGTTCTCCTTCTATCCTCCTTAGTCATTGTCCAACTCTCTGATGCATAACAAGTGATAGCAAAGACCATGGCCTGTATCAGATG